TTGTTAGAACTGATCAACGCAGCTTGAAGTTTCTTTTGGAGCAGCGCGTAGTTAGTGAAGAGTACCAGAAATGGCTGACGAAATTGATGAGTTTCAATTTTGAAATTCAATACCGTCTTGAGGTTGAGAATAGGGCAGCGGATGCACTCTCAAGAAGGGATCCAGGGTTGCAACTTTTATCTGTTTCCACCCCCAAGTTGCTGCCATTAGAGGACATTAAAAAGGCAGTGTCGGAGGACAACGAACTGAAGGAGATACTGAAAGAAATTCAGGCAGAACATGGGTCCAAACCAAGGTATTCTCTGATTGGTGGAATGTTGTGCTACAAGGGCAGGATTGTGTTACCCAAGCTATCTCCGCTAACTGAAGTTATGTTGCTTGAGTGTCACAACACGAGAATAGGAGGGCATTTGGGGTTCCTTAAAACTTACAAAAGGATTGCACGGGAAGTTTATTGGACGGGTATGAAGAAAGATGTTCAGGACTTTGTAGCACGTTGCCCAGTATGTCAGCAGAATAAATACATTGCTTTATCCCCTGGCGGTCTTCTCCAACCACTCCCAATACCAGAACTGATATGGGCAGATGTCTCCATGGACTTCATTGAAGGGTTGCCGAAGGCAGGGGGGTATGGTACTATAATGGTCGTGGTGGACAGGTTAAGCAAGTATGGACATTTTATTGGGATAAAGCATCCGTTTACTGCCCCTATTATTGCTAATGTTTTTATCCGCGAGATTGTCCGTTTGCACGGGGTCCCTCAGTCAATTGTGTCGGATCGAGATAAAATCTTTATGAGTAAATTTTGGGAAGAGCTGTTTAAAGCGCAAGGGACCGTCCTTAAGAGAAGTACAGCTTACCATCCACAAACGGATGGCCAAACTGAAGTGGTCAATCGATGCTTAGAGACTTATTTGCGTTGCTTTGCTTCTAGCAAACCACATTCCTGGAATCAGTGGCTACCTTGGGCAGAGTTTTGGTATAACACCTCTTTTCACACAGCTACTAAACATACCCCCTTTCAGATTGTATATGGCCGGGATCCGCCTCCAATTCTTCCTTTTGAAAAGGGTAGTACGGCGGTCTCCACTGTTGAACAACAATTATTGGCGAGAGATGAAGTGCTACAGGTTCTGAAGTTGCATCTGGCTCGTGCACAACAGCGTATGAAATTGGAGGCTGATGGGCATCGTCGCGACCTTCAGTTTGAGGTGGGAGAACTGGTGTACCTGAAACTGCGTCCATACCGTCAAAAATCTGTGGCTCACCGACTGTCAGCTAAACTGTCTCCAAGATACTTCGGGCCATTTGAAATCGAGGCTAAGGTAGGACAGGTTGCTTACAAGCTGAAACTTCCCCCTGAGGCTGTCATTCACCCAGTTTTCCATGTATCACAACTTAGAAAGGCGGCAGGGGCCTTACAGCCGGTCCATCAACTTCCCCCACTGATGGCTACAGGGAATCAGTTTATCGTGGAGCCAGAATCAGTGCTACAGATCAGGCCAAATACCTCCAATCCTGCTTTGGGTCCTGAAGTGCTAATCAAGTGGAAGGGTTCACCAGAGTTTGAGGCCACTTGGGAACTTTTTGACAGCATCCGCCACCAGTTCCCAGCTTTCCACCTTGAGGACAAGGTGGATTTTAAGGGCGGGGGTATTGATAGGCCCCCGATTCAATTCACGTATGCTAGGAGGAAGGCCAGGTTAGCTGCAGGTCCACGTGAGGAGGGAGGGCAGTCTGTTGTATAGTTCAATTAGTTAGAAAGTTGTTAGGAGAGGGGTTAATAAGAAGGGGGAGGGAGGGAACCTGAGGGGGCACGTTTTTACTCTGGATTGTGGGATCGCTTAGGAGAGATCAGGCCTCTCGAATAGCCTGAAGCTTGTCAACTTCATTTCCATTGAAATAATATACTTAATTTCTGTGTTTTGGTTCTTTCATCTTGTGAGGTTCTATCACTTTGCTGAAGAGAGGTAACTCCCTGATTTGTTGTAAATTATTTGCTAATGATCGAGTTTCTGCATGGAAACATGAAATTTGTAATCCTTCTCTTTGTAGATGTTCAATTGGCTTTATCATTCCCATTATGTGCTTCTGTATTTTATTTTGCTCCAATTTTATCAATCATGTTCTCATTTGGCTTTTGAAGATATTAACCATTATGAAAAAAGTACTTATTGTTGTAATGTATGTTCCAAAATGTAGGCTAAAATGACTGCACTGCACTCAAATTCTGTAATTCAGTTTCAGTTGGAAGTGATTGAATGCCTTCAAAATATGAAGATACCCATGAACTGTAAATTTCTGGAAGTCATTTTCTAATTATCCATGCCAACTAGGTATTGAAGGGAAAAGTGGCAGAGAACATCTTATTTTTCTGTAACCTGTGATTTTTGTAACTAATTATTTGTAATCCCAGTATGGTTTCAATCTTTTATTTCAACATAACAGCATCAGCTAGATTTTACTAATCTGTTTCCACTGAAAATTGAAAACCTGCTTTGTCCAGTATGATATTTATATTAAATTTCTCATGTATGTGATGGTATATTTATGCCTTTTTTTTCTTTGCTTCTCACTATATCGTTACTCTTCCTTTTGTTCCTGACTCCTGAATTAATTTACGCTCAGGATTGCTTATTTCTTGCTGATTAGTTAAGAAATTAATGAGTTCAGTGGCACATCATTTTCTTTTTGGCACTCTATCTATGGGACGAAGCAGACAAGTAGCTTTTGCACAAGGGTTTTTGTTTTACAATTTTTATATAGAATTGTAAATTACACATGAAAAGACATTGTGATTGCCAATAAAGCACCGGCTCATAATTTGTTGGAACCGATTATGTATCTTCATCTTTCTCGGAACTGATTATTTTTTTTCCAGATTGCATATAGTTTTCTCTTCTCCGAGGCATTTGATGGTCGCTGCAGGATGTATCATTATCAATTTATCATGGAGATTGTGTACAAAATGGACTTCGCCCTGCTTGGTTTTCTAATCTGTGCTGCCATTTTGGGCATTGGTATGAATAAAAGCTTCTATCTTTTCATGTTATGTGATGACTTTAACCGCATGGATCATTTTCTACTTTCTTATTGCTTCTCTTACCAATGGTTAAAGATATAAGATAAAGTGTTTTGCAGCTGATTGTTTTGGTAATATTAGGAATTTGTTTTATCTACAAATGGTTAAGATATAAGATGAAGTGTTTCCGCATACCTGTAAATGCCTAGTGTCACAAAATCTGTTTCATGGTACAGATAGTTTATAAAAATTTAGGATAGAAGATTTTGTTGTAAACCTAAAGTGTTATGAAATCTGTTTTGTCTCTCTTTTCTAATTGGTGATTGTGGTTATTGGGCAAGATGGTCTTGAATAGTTTTACTTGTCATACATGATTTCCACGATAACCGAGAATGATGCGATTGTGGTATAACACTGTATCGGTTCTGTTTTCCAGGCATATATGAAGCTACATCTTTGGACCATGTTGGGAAAGATTCTTTGCAAAATTCAGGTCTGTCCAGTGCAGTTTTTGAGGATCAGATTCAGATATCTCCACTCCCAACTTAAAAAGTAAGGACTAATTTGTGAAGAATTCTGTGCTTCTCATTAGACAAACCAATAATCATTATACGGCACATCCATTTGCTCATGATAGTGACCCTTCTTTTATTAATTTCAATTGATCTATCCGTAATAAGATTGTCTCTCATTACAGCAATGTTTTGAATTTCCGATGAGAAGAAACCTTTACGTTTGAATTTCTTTTTAAAATTTTACAACTGCATCAACCGAACACTTAATCCGGTGGTGATTTTTATCTCTAAAAATGTTGTTACTGCACCGAATTTTCTCCTCTCTCAACCCAATATAACCTTTTAGGCCTCACCTGTGGAAATGACTTGCAGGGTTTGAAATTACTGTAAGGCGAAATAGTCGTAACTGGTTTACTCTCTTGTAAGCAATGTTCTTGTCTCCGAACTTCGCCATTGACCTTTTTTTTTTCTTTTTCTTTTTTCCCCCCCTTCTTTTTCCTTTTCGTGCAGCAGCAATTTAATCGGGCTACCGTTGCATTAATGTGGATCTGTAAAAGAGGCGGCAAGAGTATTTATAAACCTTTGCAGTACCCAAAATTTTTCACAAGATGCAAAGAAGAAATGTGCAAGCAGATTCTTGGCTGTTGGGGCCACTGGAAATTTCCAAGCTGATTGAGAATGGCATCATAGATTCATAGGTCTTAGTAAGGATGTTGAGGGGTTGATTACTGTGTATAGATCGTTACTCTCAAGTTCATGGTCTCTTCAATAAAACACCCATTTTTCCTTTTTGGAGTCTTCTATAAATCATTGCTGCGACTGTGAGCTCTCTTGTCAACCGTCGCACGAATCAGTTGAAAGGATTTTTATGCGTAACGTTTGGTATGCTGAATTGGACATTATTAGATCAGAGAAACTTATCAATTTTCTACATGTCTCTCTCGTTATTTAAATGTTGTCATGATACCTTACGTGGTTTCAGTATAATCAAGAATTACCTTTAACTAGAATTGAAGTTTATTTCGAATTTTAGGTGGAGGGTTGAGTCTTCATACTGGGCTTCTCCTTCAGGCATTTTCATCGTAATTCAACAAACAACTTCGTAAATTCATTCTAATGAGACAAAGTTAGATACGATAATGTTAATGTGAGATGACTGAAAGAATTGTATAAAAATGTTGTTGATTTCAATATATTCCAAGACCAGAAGTACATATCCTTGTATAGGAGTTTTACAGTGAAGTCTACATATTGTACAAAGAAAGAATCAAGATTAAAGGGAAAGAATTAAGGAATGATAGAAGAAAATTATGCTATAATCAAGTCTTCCTCTAATTAAGCTCTGGTCTTCCTCTAATCAAGCTATGCTGTAATCAAGTAATCACGCCTCTTCAAGTTTTAAATAAGGATGTTGCTGTTAAGTTTATCTCTACATATGACCAAATTGTTGATATTTTTCACAAAGGGCCTCACTTCTTCTTGGTTTCTCTACCTCAAGGCTATGTTGATCCACAACATCCACATTATGTATGTCAACTTAATAAGGCCCTTTATGGATTAAAACAGGCTCCTAGAGCTTGGTTTAATTGATTCTCTCAATGTCTGGTGGAACTCGGATTTATAGGATCTATGGTTGATCACTCTCTTTTCACTTATCACCAAACTGATGTCCATATTTTTATTTTGGTCTATGTGGATGACATTCTTATTACAGGATCACATAACTCATTCATTGCCTCATTGATTCAACAAATAAAATCTGAATTTGCCTTGAAGGATTCAGGGTCTCTCCATTACTTTCTTGGAATTCAGGTCACCTATGACTCCCATGGCCTACATCTCCGTCAATCCAAATACATATTAGAGGTTTTAGATCGTGCTCATATGATTGGTGCCAAGCCATATTCAGCACCATGTACCTTAGGTTCAAAGCTTGCTGCATCTAGTGGTGATCTTCTTCCTCGTGCCACTGAATATCGTCAGATTGTTGGTGCTATCCAATATTGCACTCTTACCCGTCCAGAAATTGCTTACTCTGTCAATTAGCTTTGCCAACATCTTCACGCTCCTACTACTACACATTGGATGGCCGCCAAAAGGGTCCTTTGCTATCTTAAAGGAACGATTGATCATGGCCTTTCTTTCATCAAGGGAAATCTTCATTTACAATCATTTAGTGATTCTGATTGGGCGGGTGATCCAGATGACCGCCGCTCCACCACAGGCTTTGGTATCTTCTTAGGTCCTAGCTTAATTTCTTGGTGTGCAAAGAAGCAATCGGTCATTGCTCGATTAAGCACTAAGGCGGAATATCGGGCTTTGGCAATGACTGTTGCTGAACTCTATTGGATTAGGATGGTACTTAAAGATTTACTGGTTCATCTTCAACGTGTTCCAACTGTTTGGTGTGATAATTTGGGTGCTATTGTCCTTGCTTCCAATCCCATTTTTCATGCTCGCACTAAGTATGTGGAGGTGGATGTTCATTTTATTCGGGAGAAAGTTTTAAATAAGGATGTTGCTGTTAAGTTTATCTCTACATATGACCAAATTGCTGATATTTTCACAAAGGGCCTGACTTCTTCTGGATTTCTCTACGGCCAAGCTCATGGTTCGTCTTCCCCCTATTCGCTTGCGGGGGGATGTTAAGGAAACTGACAATCAGCAGTATACCATACAAGAAGAGGCGTGATTACTTGATTACAGTTATCAGGGATGCCATCCACCATCTCAACTTGCTGCAATGATTGCTCAAAGCAATCATATTTTTGAGGAGTCCAATGTGTGGTATGCTGATTCGGGGGCAAACCAACATATTACTAATGAAGTTGCCAATTTATCTTTGCAGGAACCTTATGCTGGTCAGGATTCGGTGGTCGTAGGTAATGGATTTGGTCTCTCCATTTCCAATATTAGTTCATTCTCTATCCAAAATCCTCAGAAATAATTATCCTTTAAAGATGTCCTACATTGTCCTAATGCCTTAATCAATTTGCTCTCTAAAAATAAATTATGCATGGATAACAATTGTTATTTCATTCTAACCGATACTCATTATTATGTCAAGGACAAGAAAATGGGAAAAAGTCTTTTGGAGGGAACAAGTGAAGGTGGTCTCTATCCTATCAAATTAAATAAAGTTTCTCCTAATAACTACCGTGCTAGTGTAGCTCTCTTTGGGATCAAAGCTCCTCTTGATGTGTGGCATGCTCGACTTGGCCATCCTTCTTCACAAGTGACCAAGCAAATCATTTCCTCCTTCAAGCTTCCAGTTGCTGGATCCTTATCTCAAGAGTCTGTTTGTCCTTCGTGTCAACTAGGGAAAAATAAACGATTACCATTTAATCAATCAAATAGAGTGTCTGTTAATCCGTTGATTCTTGTTCATTCCGATGTTTGGGTTTCTCTTATTCCTTCTTCGAGTGGTTGTCGATATTATGTTATTTTTATTGGTGATTACTCATGATGAGTGAATTTCACTCATTGATTTAATGTCTTTTAAACTTGAAATATTTGATTGTTTTCGAGAAAAGTAGAACGTTTTGATGCGGGTATTCGTGTTGTTTTATAGGTAAACCAAATTTGATGAAATAGTGAGTTTGAAGGGTGGAAAAGAGTCAAAGTTTCATAGAAGTGAATGGACAAGAAGAAACATCAAGATGTACGTGGAAGACGATGGAAGAAAGAAGCAAGAAAACCAACTATAACACAGCGCCCAGGTGCTGAACACGCAGAGGAAGCAGAACTGCAGTGCCTAGGCGCCACAGTGCAGCGCAAAAATGAGAAGAAGCAGAAACGCAGCGCCTAGGTGCCACTTTTGCAGCGCCTGCCGAGAAAGGAAAAATGCGATTTTTCAAATATTTTTTGACCCGGCCCAACTCCAACTCGTAATGCAAACTAAGGGGATTATAAATACATATGGACAGACCTAAGAAAGTAGGTTTTGACAGCTGAAGAAAGGAGGCGTGGAGATACACTAATTGAGAGAAGAATCATCGGATCTTGGAGAAGGAATCAAGCTGCAACCTGAGTTTTTTCTTATCTTTCTCTTCTCCATGAGATTTAATTTATATTGTATCATGTTCTTCTCCTCAATCATGAACTAAGTTATTAAATCTAGGGTTTGATGTAACCTATTTGATACATGATTCAATTTCTTTATAGTATTTCCATTTAATTTTTCAGAATTGATTTGTATTGTTCTTGCTTAATGCTTTCGGTTGCTTGATCACCAATTGAATGAATTGATGCTCTAAGTTTAACGCTCGAAAGAGGGAAATTTATGCATGATCTAAAAACAATATAACCTAGATTTGTAGATTTCGAGAGAAAGTGCAATTCTTTAAGGGTAAAACAAGAACCAACTGCGTGACAATCTTTATAAATTTAACTCGGAATAGAGATATTGGGGTTGAATTATAGATATAGGTTCTATTTGACGCTCGAGAGGGGGAAATAGAATTAATTTAGGAGTCTTGCCTATGAATTCGGGGAATAATTAATGAAGTATCTATAGGGGCTGAGAATCATGTTGATAATACGGTGAAATCACTCCCTAGACTTTACGAGATTTTGAATTAATCTTTAGAAATTGCCTCACTTTTCTTGCATTATTAAATTCATCGACATTAGTTTAGCATTCAAACATCAATTTAACATCCGATTGTCTAGATAAAGTAAACGCAGACATAATTATAGTACTCAGTGGAAGTCGAATATCAATCCCTGTGGGTTCGACACTTTTCAATTCTTTAATATACTACAAAACTTGACACCGTGCGCTTGCGGTATAAAATTACGTTACATCAATCACGTGACAACTCACGTTTTTCTTGGATGTATCCTATTACCACTAAGTCAAAAGTTTTTAATTGTTTTGTCAAATTTAAACTATTAGTGGAATATCTTTTCTCTTGCAAAATTAAACAATTTCAGTCCGATAATGGAGGAGAATATACTTCAAATCAATTCATTTCATTTCTCAATTCTCATGGTATTCTACATCGGCTTACATGTCCATATACATCCCAACAAAACAGAGTTTCTGAAAGTAAACATCACCATATTGTGGAAATAGGATTATCTTTATTAGCTCAATCCAATCTTCTAAAAGAATTTTGGGTCGATGCCTTCTCCACTGTCATATTTCTCATAAATCGACTTCCGACTCCTGTTTTACTTTCTAACTCTCCTTACAGTCTTCTCTTCAAAAGATCACCTGACTACTCTCAACTAAAATGTTTTGGATGTGCTTGCTACCCTCTCCTTAGACCCTATAATACAAACAAGCTCGCCTTCCATAGTAAACAATGCATCTTTATAGGTTATTCATCCAATCATAGAAGTTATCGATGTCTTGATCCCATCTCAAAGAGAGTATACTTATCACGACATGTAGTGTTTGATAAGAAATTTTTTCCAGCCAAGGATAAGTCCATTGTCACTTGTCCACCGGAAGATCCTTCACCCGTTATGTGTCCAAGATTTTCTCCAAACAGTTCCTTTGAACACAATCACTCTTTCCTCTATTGAATCCATATCTCCTACCATCAATTCCCATTACTCTCCACATGACCGAGTATCCAACTCCAATAATTTCGACTCTCTCCGTATCTTACCTCCTTTGGACGATTTTTCTCACTTGGTGGAAAATTTTTCACCCATTCAATCAGTCATCTCTCCCATTGAACCCATAGTCACGGATTCCTCTCACCCTTCCACATCATCGTCCTTACCTTCAATTGATTCAGTTCCACCTCCCAATCAAATTGTGACAAACGACCTAAGCAATTCCCAGATTTCGTTACCCATTACTCGACCCAACATCCCATATTTGCCTTGACCACGATTTCTTTACCTAAAGAACCATTGAATTTCTCACAAGCAATAATTTCTGCAAATTGGAAAAAGGCAATGGATGAAGAATATGCTGCTTTACTTGCCAATAACACATGGACCCTTTGTCCCCGACCTATTGGCCATAATATTATTGACACTAAGTGGGTCTATAAGACTTAACAGAAGGAGGATGGTTCTCTTGATCATCGGAAAGCACGCTTGGTGGCTAAGGGATATAATCAAATTAGTGGCATTGATTTTTCTGAGAGCTTTAGTCCGGTTATCAAACCTGCCACTGTTCGCATTGTTTTGACTCTTGCTGTACACTTTGGATGGGATATCAAACAATTAGATGTGTCCAATGCCTTTCTTCATGGTACTCTTGATAAAGATTACGCCACTGCCCTCCTTTATGTGAATTTCTACCAGCAATCATAGCAAATGTCGGTTGCTCCATGGAGGATAAGTGGGCTTGGTTTTCAATCATTATCTCATAAGAAAGTAATTCTGATTGGAAGTCATCAAAACTCATGGCACTATATCGCAAGGCAAACGAAACGACCGTGACAAAAGGATTAAAAACTGAATTTAATCCACCCATCACGTAAGAGAGAAGATCATTCTCACTTTCTGGCTTACCAATAACTGCAAGTTGATCGGCAAGAGATTCCGCAGTAGCTAAATATTCAGTGCATGTCCTATTTCTTTGTTGCAGTGTTTGTAATTGGCGCTTGAGGCGTTGGACATAGGCAGGCGAGTGAGATGCGCAACGCTTGGCCAGAGAGTCCCACACTCCTTTGGTAGTGGTGAGACCAAAAACAGAAGGAAGAACCTTATCTGTTAGAGTAGCATTCAGCCATCCTAGGACAAACTGATCTTTCTTGATCCACATAACATATTCAGGATTAATATCCTTAGTAGTCTTTCCTTCAAAATCATGAAAAATTTTCTTAGGACAGGGTTTAGAACCATCCACAAATCCAAGTATATCATTGCTGCGTAGAACAAGTTGCAGCTGTGAGACCCAGTTAAGGTAGTTGGTACCGTCCATCTTCACCGCAACCAATTGAGAAAAGTTCGGTTGAGAGAAGACCAAAGGAACGATAGAAGTGGAAGCCATTGATAACAACAGGACAGGAAACTGTTTTAGCTTGAGCTATAGGAGCTCTGATACCACGAAAGAATTGTATAAAAATGGTGTTGATTTCAATATATTCCAAGACCAGAAGTACATATCATTATATAGGAGTTCTAAAGTGAAGTCTACATATTGTACAAAGAAAGAATCAAGATTAAAGGGAAAGAATTAAGGAATGACAGAAGAAAATTATGCTATAATCAAGTCTTCCTCTAATCCAGTCTTTCTCTAATCAAGCTATGTTGTAATCAAGTAATCATGCCTCTTCTTGTATGGTATACTGCCTATTGTCAGTTTCCTTAACAATGACTATTTCTAATTCTCACATTTTGAAGTGTGACGCAGATTTATAAGTACCTTGAAAATCCTCCATTTGAAGTAGGTTATGAAAATGAGTTGGCGCCAAAAGTTGCTTTTTTAATCTATTTGGACAGATTTTTTTTATTTTTTTATAATTTTTTTGGGGGTTCGATTTCCAATTTTATTAAGCCATCTTGCTAATCAAATGCCAATTACAATTTGTCAAATTCAAAACACCAAAAATCGTTATTTTTCAATTTTCCTGTTAGAAGTTAATCAAATTTCTTCTTGTATGTTGTTGCCACTGCCTCACACGCACTTTCTTCCGAGACATCAAGAATACCCATCTACTTTTCTTGCAGTTCGAGTCGAATCAACAGCTTCAACGATAAAAAAATGGACGAAAAGATTAGTCCGGGGCAAAATGCTTCTGAAAATCTCAGTACATGGGGAATTGGAGGCCCTTGTAAATACTTCGTTCAAGTCTTCGATCAAACCCAACTTATTTCTGCCATCAGGTTACCTCTCCTCACAATTTTGTCATATTATTTCAATATTTGAGATCGATTATAGTATTAATGGTTGTTGAGGATTGGAAATTTGCTTAGGCAGTGAACGCAGACGGTTCATTGGAAAAGATTTTAGCCTTTATTTTTCCTGGTGTTTACCATCTTAAAATAACAATTTTGTTAAGAGGAGAAGTCAAGTCCTTAATGCTGGTTATTGTTCTTATACATACTATTGTGGCCATTAACATCCTTGCAGTTGCAGGATGGTGTGCTTGTTTAAGCATACCCCAATATTGAAATCCGAATGTTTGTTTGAGCTTTTGACAGGCTGAATTGCTCTTTTGAACTTCTCTAATACCTATGAAGATTTAGTTTCCTTAAAAGTTTAACCTCGTTGAGAGGAGAGCCCAAGCCTTTATATATTGGTTAATATTTTAACCCATGTGAGATTTTAACCTTAACAGCTAATGCCCACTACTATATAGTCCTCTTCAATGAACAAGCCATTATTGCTTTTGCAAGGAAATTGATGTCGCAATCACGTAAGAATGAGAGAACACACACGCACCGATCATAGGTGCAGGTGATACAGATTGTTATTTCAATAATTATGAATGGCTGCTGTTATTGTTGAAATCTGCTGTTTTCCTTTCTTTTAGCATTGTTATGTCTTTTTGTGTAACGCAACATTTACCAGTTACGTCGTCAAGTATAAGTGTCATTCCACTATGGCACAAGTCCTCGATTACTCAAGTCAGAGAATGTCATTGGAAATATGAAGAGCTTAATGGCTTTCATAATAGAGTTCTTACACCAGTTTACCTCTTTATATAGGGGACCTTAAATTGCCTATATTTGTATTTCCGGTTCGGCTAGTCGTGCTTATGGAGGATAGCAGCATTGTTGAGATTGTCATGACTTGAAAACTGAATCCTAGCTTTCGTATCATCTTCTCAAGTTCCCCCCATTGGTGACATGGCGACAGCAGTTGGTCTTGACTAACTGACAAGTGCTCTTTGGCTTGAGTTCTTAGCTTGGTCTTGTTTACACTCTTTGCTGCCAACAATCGTTTTGGCAAGTGAAAAAGGAACGAATGGTGACCTTTGGAAACTTAAAAATAGGTCATATGTTCTCTAGAATCCAAACACACTGTCGTCCTTCATCTCATTTGTTTTTCCACCAGAAAAAAAATGATACAATTTTCAAAGATAGTTCTGAGTAAAACCATCAGCATTGAGATATCAAAGTTTCTGGGGTTGTTTGCCATTTGAAACCGCCCACAGGGCTGGGGTAAGTGTCATCTTAAAGAGATGTTCCATGCATGCATTGATTCCACAGTTTTCTGATTTTCCCCACATAAGTTGTAAACTATCATGTTGAAATTCTTCTATCTTTTTGTCAAATCCTCTAGTTTCTTGCTGGCTTAAACTTGACTTGGAATGATAAGTGTAACTTAAAAATGTCCGAGCTTTGGGTGTTTGTTCTTGTAATTCAGGTTAACAGGCTTTTGTTGAGTTAAACACAGGCTGAGCTCAGGCAATTTGATTAATACATAACAAAAAAATATGTATGGTTAATAAGTCAAACTGAGCCCGACTCAAATAATTTTAAGTGCTTAACTTGATGATTTTCTATTTTTTATCCAATTTTAGACATTTTAGGCAGCTCAGCATATTAAATAATTTTCCATTATATCAACTCTTCTGTAATGTACTCACTATAACTACTGTTATCATATCTTATTGCACTATTTGTTTTCCATGCCTCAAATCAATCTAAAATGCTGGGGCCAAATGTTGATGTTATTTTGTAGAAGTTTGAAAGTTTCAGTATAGTTTAAAACAGTAGCCATCATGATTTATATAACGCTGTTGTTTGGTCTTCACTTACGCGGGTATTGTAACGAGCATTCTATTAGATTTATGATAATCGGTAAAGGGTCAAACTGTCTATTTGATGACATGGATTTTGATGGTTGTATTGTTCTCAACTGCATCGAGTCGTTGGAGACAATTGAGCCTGGCTTATACAGAGTGGGAAGTGGTTATCCATTTAATCGTCTAGGGATGCAGTGTGAAACTGAAGGACTCCCGGGGCTCTAATTTGCAGAAGGAATTCCAGGAACTGCTGGTGGTGCTGCTTATATGAATGCTGGAGCAATCGGGCAGGTACTGCTGGTTTTTATTTGAAAAAGGAATACTGAGAAATGCAATAATTTCCATTATTAGCTTCACTCTAGGACGATAAAAGAAATTCTTTTATTTGATACTTGTGTTCGCATGACTTGTTTTTTGGAGCTGCAGAATCTTGAAAACTAGAAATTTGAACATGAACATTAGATTTTGATATATGGAATTGCTAAATTTGTCACTGATCTTTCATTTACATTGTAGGAAACTGCTGATACTATTGATTGCGTCGAGATTTTCACAACTGAAGGAGAACATGGGTCGCTGAAAAGGAGTGACCTCGACTTTGGCTACCGATCATCTCCATTTCAAAATATGGAAGATTTTGCAGCCATCACTGCTGCAACATTCCGACTAGAGTTCTCGGAAACAGCAAGAAGACAGAAGCAAGAATACTTGAAAAGTTAACCTTTTTAGAAATTCGTGTGCTGTCTAGGTATCTTTAACTGCTAATATGGTTGTCGGGTTAAATACACCGGCGTACATTTAACAAAATGTCACGTTGGTCACTCAACTTAGATGAATTAAAATTTGGTCCGTCCATATCTTTTTGACTAATAAGAGAAAAAGATAACGTGATAGTCTAGTTATTTGCCAATTGAGCTGCAAAGTATACTGCTACATTAGCTTTTCTGGTAAGTCAAACTAAAGTAAATTGACGGGATGACCTGACAATATCAAAGTTAAAATTCATCGACCAACTTGAAACAAATAAAATTTAGTGGCCAACACAATATTTTACTAAAATTTCTGTGACTTTCGCCATCTTTTAACCTAGATGATTTCGTTTGCAGAAGGAAATTTACTCAGCCAGTTGGGGAGAGAAGTGCTGGTTCAGTGTTTCGAAGCCTTTCGGACTCAAACATTTCGGCTGCAGAATTTATTGAGAGAGCAGGATTAAAAGGGTATAGAATTGGAGAAGCCATGGTATCAAAGAAGCATGCTAATTTCTTCAAAAATTGTGGTGGTGCAACTTCTCAAGAAATGCTTGAGCTTATTAGGTTGGTGAGGAGACAGTTTTTGAGAGATTTGGTCTGGAACTCAAGAAATCTTGTATATTCATCCATTTTGTAAAGATCAAAATCCAAATAGAGATAGTAAAACCAGTTTTGAGAAATGATTGAGGAAGAAATAAATAATTTTATGTTATTTGGAAAAACAAGTTGAATGGACCCTTTGTTTTTTCGGTCGACTACTAAGTTGGCTCCCCTTTCTGTTTTCAAAAAGAGAATTCATAAAGCAATAAAAATAACAATTATTTGTGGCCCTAAAAGACTCAGGAAATAAAGAAAAAATTCGACCAAAGCCCAAAACTTAATCTAAATCTTTAGTCCAAAATCTCCAAGCATCCAACAATAGCTTTTCCAAAAATAGGGGAAAAAAAATTCTGCCATTGCACCTGTAATTATTTTCAAAAAAAAAACATTTTTTTGAAACTCTTTTACAGATAAAATTGTCTGCACGTGCAAAAGCTGTCTGCCATTGGCAGACATTTAACTGTTTGTCCGGCAAACATTTTTACCGTTCGTCGGCAGAAGGTTAATCCATCTGCAATTAATTATTTTTAAAATAAATAATCATTGAATTCTTTGTTCTCCATCTTCAAGTCTTCTTTCTTCAATTTCCAATCAACTTACAAGATCCAAAAACTACAAGAATTACATAAATTTCCATGTCCCGTAGGCTCACAAATTTTGAATCTAATTGTACAGAAAATTAAATCAAGATGATGGAGTCGTAATCCACCTATCTTGTTACATACTCGAAATAACAAATTACAATCAAAGATTGCCCCCAAATAATTGGTTCACAATTTAAAATTATCCAATCATTCAATCAAGATATAAATTTTTTTCAGATATCGCTCGACTAGAACATGCAATCAATAACAAGTACGTGAACGATCTAGATTGCTTTGATACCAGTTGTTGGAATGTGGAAGCGAAATTAATCAGAAATTAAAATTTTCTTTAATTCAATAAGCAAGATCATCTAGATGTTCACCTGTATGTTATAACAAAATTAAAGGATTCGAATCTTTTTACCTAAGTTCAATGATCAACCTTGAATTAACTCTGATCCGCGAACTTCAGTCTTCTTTAATTGCAAGAATCTTGGTGCTTCAAACTTTCAAGTGTTCTATGGTATTCTCCAATGCAAAGACTACACCGGTGTGTGAGCACCTTCTTTCAATTAATCCAAAAACTAATTTTTGAATTTTGGACTACAAGAAAATAATATATTTCTCTCTACAAATTTGAATTTTATGGAATTATGAATGTTGTAATATTTGTCTATGCATCTAGTCTCTATTTATAGAGAAAAAGATGATAAAATTCTAGTACAATTATAATTCCACATTCAAACAAGAATTCTAATTAAAACTCAAGTAGGAGTTTTAATTTAAATCCAATTGTAATTAGTTTACATATAATTGCATGTGTAGTCCTAGAACATCAATTACAATTACAATTAAGTTTATAACCTTCATAGTAATTACAACCAAGTACAAAACTTTATTGTAATTACAATTAAGCCCAAAAATATTATATTTACTGTAATTAAGTTCCAATACCTTATGGAGCTACCACATGGACCTGATCGGACATATATTTTCCAAACTCCAATAATTAGATCTATCTAGTCGACCCTAGACTACACAATCTAATTATTAGTCCTTACTTTTTCCACTAAAGGTAAAAGACTGAACTCTCGGAATATATAAGATCACAGAAGTCAATAACTCTGTAATACATTCCTCTGACCTGTCGTATATGTATTTTATCCCCGTCCGAGATTCGATAATTAGGTACGAACATAAATAACCGTTTTGCCTCTCTAATTATTCTCACTAACTTAAATTTCATTTTCTTCAACGGTCCTGTGAACAAATAATAGATATCAAAGTTTAGCCCTCGCTAAACACTGAGCTCAAATTTTTAACCGTTCAACAGAAAATACTTAAGTAGTCACTTTACCCATTTTTCAGGGTGATGGTTCCCGACATGAATTCATGTTCTCTACTCCGTTCATTCTCAAGTTCTCAATTTATCGAGATATTTGACCAATCAAATTGATCTCACCCATTGATGAATCAAAGAATACTTAAAGTCGCGAAATGATATACATAATCTTATCAAAGGATTCAGATGAAATACACAGCGGCCAAATGGAATTTAATTCTCCACACGGTCATGCTATAAAATTAAATTCGACACGTGGTCCGTTCAATACATTCCAAGTGTACTAGTGTCACCTTTAACTATTTCTGTGATAACCTGAATAGTGAATCGGTCAACACTACAACCTTCCAGTACAAGGTGCCAACCCTTATACGTTGGTTGTGAACAAATTATTTATGATCAAAATATAAATTGTATCACACTGTACTTCTCAACGCAAGTACCCAACTTATATTATCTCTAGTGATCATAGGCACTTTAATTTCGCATGCTCAATGAAAAATTGCAATAAATAAAATAAACATAATTTTATTCAATATTAAAAAATTATTATTATTGTTATTTTTACATCAGCAAAACTATACTATATGAGCACACAACCCAACAAATCTCCCACTTGCCCTAGAGTATATGTGTCATGTCCTGTAAACTGATGCCTTACATATGTCCATTAAATACCTTTGCCAATAGGCTCTTTGTAAATGGATCCCCGAGGTTATCCACAGTAGCAATTTTACTGACAATCATATCTCCTTTATTAACTATCGCTCTCAAGAGATGATATTCTCGTTCAATATGTTTACCCCTTTGATAACTCCTTGGTTCTTTAGCGTTTGCCACTGCCCCACTGTTATCACAGTACAGTGTCAGGGGCTGTGCAAATGTAGACACCACCTCGATATCCGTTAGGAATTTTTTGAGCCACACCGCTTCCTTAGCGGTTTCACAAGCCGCCACATACTCAGCCTCCATGGTGGAATCAGCAATACATGATTGTTTGATATTTCTCCAAATAATGGCCCCACCATCAAGTGTAAACAGTGATCTTGATGTAGACTTGCGAGAGTCCTTATCAGCCTAGAAGTCTGAATCTGTATAACCCACTAGAACAAGATCTGGTGATGAGTAAACTAGCATGTAATTCCTTGTCCTTCGAAGGTATTTCAGGATATGCTTTACAATCACCCAGTGTTCCGGTCCAGGGTTAGATTGATGTCGACTCACCATACCAATAGCATAACAAATGTCAGGTCTAATGCACAGCGTAGCATACATGAGACTATCAACTGCCGATTCATAAGGTATGCTATTTATACTTTCTAGCTCTTCAGGATTCTTAGGGGACTGATCCTTAGAGAGTTGGATTCCATGCCTGAAAGGTAAATTACTTTTCTTGGAATCTTGCATGGCAAATCTGACAAGTATCTTATCAATAAATTAAGCTTGGAATAGAGCTATCTGTTTGTTCTTTCAATCTATTAAGATCTGAATACCTAGAATATAGCTAGCTTCTCCTAAGTCTTTCATATGAAACTGTTGGGCCAACCACGCTTTCGTAGACGATAATGCTCCAACATCATTTCCACTGAATAGAATATCATTCACATATAGCACGAGGAAAATTACAATTTTCTCCTGTATCTTCTTATAGACCCAGGGTTTATCAAAGTTCTGATCAAAATCATATATCTTAATCACTTCGTCGAATCCTTGTTCCAAGATCTTGATGCTTGCTTCAACCAATAAATGGATCTTTGAAGCTTGCAGACTTTGTCTTCATGACCAGGTTCTATGAATGCGTTTGGTTGCACCATATAGATACATTCCTCAAGATGGCCATTCAAAAAGGCTGTCTTAACATCCATTTACCACACCTCATAATCAAAATGAGCTGCAATGGATAAAAGAATCTGGATAGACTTAAGCATAGCCACAGGTGAAAAGGTATTCTCATAATCGAAGCCTTCTCGTTGGGTAAAACCCTTAGCCACTAGCCTTGCTTTGAAAGTTTCCACTTTCCTGTCCGCTCTTCTCTTTCTCTTATAGACCCACTTGCACCCGATGAGTTTTATCTCTTCTAGTGCATCTACAAATTCCTAGACCTGATTGGAATGCATATATTCCATTTCAGCATTCATAGCTTGTTGCCATAAATCTGCATCCACATCATTCACGACCTCCTTATATGAAGTCGGGTCATCAACTTGTGTTGTGGAGATCGCTTGATTGGATTCTCCAACTAAACTTACCTAGAAGGCAGTCTGCTAACCCTCTGACTTTGTCTAAAGGGTGGTGGATCCTGGACTGTGGCATCGTTTAGAATTATGACGTTTGTATCAATGTTGGTATCACCATTAGGTGGTCCCATTACCTCCTCAATACCTTCAACGTTTACTTGATCCATGGGATTGGATGACTCATCTCTCCCACTCAAAACACATTGCTTAGGTATATCTGATACAAAGGGTTGTCTGTTATGAGATTGTGTTTCAGGAATCGATGTGGTGGAATTGCTCCCACTCATTTCTTCCAACACAACCTTGCTTTTGGACTGACATTCATTAATATGCTTATCCTCTAGGAAAGTGGCATTTGTGCTAACAAAGACTTTCCTATCTAGATGACTATAAAAATAATATCCCCTGGTGCCTTTAGGGTATCCCACAAACAGGTATACTCTGATCTAGACTCCAACTTCTCTGCCTTCCTTTTCGGCACATGAGCCGGACATCCCCAAATTCGAATATGACGTAAGCTAGGCTTGCGCCCATTCCATAATTCCAGGGAAATCTTGGGAACTGACTTAGAAGGAACTAAATTAAGGACATATGCTGCTATTTCCAGTACATATCCCCAAAATGAGGTAGGTAGAGTTGCAAAACTCATCATTGACCTAACCATGTCTAAAAATGTCCTATTTCTTCTTTTCGAAATGCCATTCTGTTGGGGTGTACCCAGCGCACTCAGTTGAGAAACAATACCATTTTCTGTCAATTAGTCCCTGAATTCTCCCGAGAGATATTTGCCACCTCAATCTGATCGAAGTGTCTTAAAACTCTTACCCAAATGTTTCTCGACCTTAGCTCGATACTCTTTGAATTTTTCAAAAGCATATGACTTTCGAGTCATTAGGTAGATGTACCCGAATCTAGAGTAATCATCGGTAAAAGTGATAAAATACTCATAAGCCCCTCTTGCAGGTGTATTTATGTGTCCACATACATCAGAATGAACTAGTTCTAATACTTCTTTGACTCTATGTCCTTTTGCTAGAAAGGATCTTTTGGTCATTTTACCCTCCAAATAAGAATCACAAACTGGCAATGATTCGACCTTAAGTGTGTTAAGTGGACTATCCCTAGCCAATCTTTGTATCCTGTTAAGGTTAATATGTCCAAGTCTAAGATGCTATAAATAAGTATCACTAGTATGGTTAGACATTCGTTCATGGTTTGCAGAAATAACATTTATTTCATTTGTAGCACAATTTAAAATATAAAGACCATTCACCAAATATCCAGCACAAATGAGAGTTTTATTCTTTAAAATATAAAGCACATCATGCGCAGAGTTTACAGAATAACCCTGTCCCATTAAACAAGAAACAGAAATCAAATTTTGCTTGATCTGCGAGACATAATAACAGTCTTTAAGAATTAAACGCCTACAACTATTGAAATAAAAGTAAACTACTCTTATTGCTCTTGCTGAAACTATAGCTCCTATGCCGACAGTAATTTTAAACTGGCCCTCACCGAGTCTTCTGCTCTCCTGAAGCACCTGCATAGACATGCATATATAATTAGTGGCTCCTGGGTCTACAACCTAGAAATTTGTAGAATCAACCACCAAACATGACTCGGCAATAAAAAACTCACCAACACCCAGCTTTTTAGCTCGTGCATCAGGGCAGTCTTTCTTCTAGTGTCCTTTGCAACCACAGTGGAAAACTTGCCTTTCGATGTTCCATCTGATTTGGGCTTTTTGTTGCTTCCTGGCTTTTTGTTAGATCTCTTCATCTTCTTCCCAATTCCGCCTTTCGGCTTGGATCCAGAGGAGCTAGCAATTGCCGCATGAGCATGGCCACCCTTACCTTTGAGACCACTTTCCACATTTTGCAACTCATTCATTAACTCAGTTAATGACATATTCAGTAAACTGTGAAAACATATCGGATAAAGAATTCAATACCATATCAACTTGAGTTTCCTGATTAATAGTTGCACTCAGATTCTCCGTCACGTTGAAATGTGCAATCATAGTCAACATATGATCCTTCACAGGCGTTCCGGGTTTCATGCGGATGTTCTGTAAGGTATGAATGGCCTCAAAGCGAGCCCTCCTACTTTGATGTCCAAACATGCCCTTCAGGCTTTCTAGTATGTCATAAGAGGTCTCTTGACTTTCAAGCTTCTATTGTAGCACGTTTGACATGGATGCCAAAATGTAACAGCGAGCCATCTTGTCAGCAGCTATCCACTTATCATACGCAGCCCTCTTGGACTTGCTTGTAGTCTCAGTAGGTTCCTCGGGACATTTTTCTTCGAGCAGAAAATCAAGTTTTTCGGCAATAAGCACAAACATCAAATTACGATTCCGATTCCGATCCACATAATTATCCCCGACGAGTTAGTTTTATTTTAGAATAACGGATAAAGCACTGAGAGACATTTTGCTGAAAAATAACAATTTATTGCATATTAAAATTGAGCAGGGAATGAGAATTTAGCATATGATGCATGAATGCATGTGTAGATCCATCTAACTACAATAATGCAATGATTACTTGATCCCTGTGATCCAACATGTCTCTCCATAGGAAAGGTCAATGTGTCCACTAATCAAGCTGAGACCCTCCCACTTAAACAAAATATATCTGACAACAAATGTCTATATTAAGTCCAGTGTCATTTTATTTGGTAACCAAAATTATAGACGAGAGCCTCTATAGGAGGTTCATAGATAATTTTGATTTGAGTGTACAACCTTTGTCTTAATCTCTAAACACTTGAAAATAATTTCGCCATCTATAGGATGATCATAAATTAATTCTATTTAGACGATTTTATCATAAAGAAATTCAATCAAGCAACTTGAACCACGCAGCCCTCCTATAAGGAGTCCGTTAGATTTCGACTGAGGCAAGCGCATTACTTTGCTTATGGATTGACCAAAGGACACCGTGGGTTTTTATTTCAATAAACACTCTCCCCCACTCAATATTTTAAAATAATGGATTTTAATTGAAAAAATTACCAATTGTTCATATTAATTAAATTAATATACAATTTAATTATTACGATTTTTCTATTCAGAAAAATTTAATTTAAATTAAATTAATCAAAGAAAAATTCGTGTTAAATGATATACATCATATTCATAGTATCACGAGCGATGTCATAAATAAATTTATATGTCATGATATTAAAAATGATAATATATCAAACAATAATTTAAAACATTCATAAAACGATAAAAAATAACAATTATTTGTGGTCCTAAAAGACTCAAGAGATAAATAAATAGGACCAAAGCCTAAAACTCAATTTAATTCTCTAGTCCAAAATCTTCAAGCATCCAACAATAGCTGCTCCAAAATTAGCAAGGAGGTCTCTGCCACTGCACCTGTAATTAATTTCAAAAAATCATTTTTTTGAAAAATCAAATTACAGATGAATTTGTTTGCACGTGCAGATTTACGTGCAGACAAAATCTGCACATGCAAACACTGTTTGCCATGCAGGCAGTCAAACTGTCAAAATTTATTTATTTTTTAAATACAAATCTTTGAATTTTTTGTCCTCCATCTTCAAGCATTCTTCTTCAATTTTCAATCAACTTACAAGATCCAAAAATTACAAGAATTACATAAATTCCTATGTCCCGTAGGCTCACAAATTTTGAATCTAATTGTATAGAAAATTAAATCAAGATGATGGAATCGTAATCCACCTACCTTGTTACAGACTCAAAATAACAAATTACATCAAAGACTGGCTGCAAATAATTGGTTTACAGTTTAAAATAATTCAATCATTCAATCAACATATAAAATTTTCCTAGACATCGTTCGACTAGAACATGCAATCAATAACAAGCACATTAACGATCTAAATTGCTTTGATACCAGTTGTTGGAATGCGGAATTAATCAGAAATTAAAATTTTCTTTAATTCAAAAGGCAAGATCGTCTACATGTTCACGTGTATGTTATAACAAAATTAAATGATTCAAATTTTTTACCTAAGTTCAATGATCAACTTTGAAATAACTCTGATCCGTGAACCTCCGTCTCCTTTAATGGCAAGAATCTTGGTGATTCAAACCTTCTACGGTATTCTCCAATGCAAAGACTACACCGGTGTTTGGCCACCTTCTTTCAATTAATGCAGAAACTAATTCTTGAATTTTGGACTATAAGAAAATAATATATTTCTCTCTACAAATTTGAATCTTATGAAATTATGAATGTTGTAGTATTTTTCTATGCATCTAGTCTCTATTTATAGAGAAAAAGATGATAAAATTCTAGTACAATTATAATTTTACATTCAAACAAGAGTTCTAATTAAAACTCAAGTAGGAGTTCTAATTTAAGTCCAATTCTAACTAGTTTACATATAATTGCATGTGTAGTCCTAGAACTCCAATTACAATTACAATCAAGTACAAAACTTTATTGTAATTATAATTAAGCCCAAAACTATTATAATTACCGTAATTAAGTTCCAATACTTTATGGAGCTACCACAGGGACTTGGTCGGACATATATTTTCCAAACTCCAATAATTAGATCTTGTCTAGTCGACTCTAGACCACCCAATCTAATTATTAGTCCTTGCTTTTTCCACTAAAGGCAAAAGACTGAACTCTCAAAATATATAAGATCACAGAAGTCAATAAATCTGTTATACTTTCCTTTGACCTACCGTATATATATTTTATCCCCGTCCGAGATCCGATAATTAGGTACAAGCTCAAATGACCGTTTTGCCTCTCTAATTATTCTCACTAACTTAAATTTCATTTTCTTCAACGGTCCTGTGAACAAATCACAGATGTCAAAATTTAGCTGTTGCTAAACACTGAGCTCAAATTTTTAACCCTTCAACAGAAAGTACTTAAGCAGTCGCTCTACCCATTTTTCAAGATGACGGTTCCCGACATGAATTCATGTTCTCTACTCCGCTCATTTTCAAGTTCCCAACTCATTGAGATATTTGACCAATCAAATTGATCTCACCCATTGATGAATCAAAGAACAATTAAAATCGCAAAAAGATGTACACAATCCTATCAAAAAGTTCAAATGAAATACATAGCGGTCAAGTGGAATTTAATTCTCCGTACGGTCATACTATATAATTAAATTCGACACGTGGTCCGTTCAATACACTCCAAGTGTACTAATATCACCTTTAACTATTTCTGTGATAAGGACAAATCACAAACCTGAATAGTGAATCGGTCAACACTACAACCTTCCAGTACAAAGTGTCAACCCTTATACATTGGTTGTGAACAAATTATTTATGATCGAAGTATAAGTTGTGTCACACTGTACTTCTCAACGCAAATACCCAACTTATATTATTTCAAGTGATCATAGGCATTTTAATTTTGCATGCTCAATAATAAATAATTACAATAAAGTAAACATAATTTTATTCAATATAAAAAATATTATTATTATTATTATTATTATTTTTATATCAGCAAAACTATACTATATGGACACACAACCCAACATTTGGACCATCCTGAGAAAGTTGCATTCTATTCTTCCAATGTGAGATGATGACTTTTTGCAAATGAAAAATCACCCCTCCTGGCTTCAAGTTCAACATCAACAACCTAGAAGCATCCCAAAGTGCTTTTGGACTGGGCCATGGCCATCAGTATCACCATCACCCACTTTTCATCTCGCACACTCCCATATAAACAAAGCCACCTTATCAAACGTTTCCTAGCTTTACCAATCACCTTCGAACCCAATTTACCCCACCCCAAGAGATGATGTATCGTGTCCGTTCGTGGCAGGGTCGGTCCGGAGAATTTAGTGGCCGTAGACGACTAATTAATATAAGCCTTCAAACATAATTTTTTTTATACGTGTAACAACATTTAAATAAAATATATTTTTATATTAAAATGAAGATTTTTTACAATTTAAAATATAGATTAGCCAAAGAAAATCTCTCTCAACCTTTTTATTCCTTTTTCTTTTGGCACATCCAAAATCAAATTTTCTCGTAGCGATAAGAGCGGTAGAACCTGACAAATGAGTCTGAATTAAAAATTCCCAAACTTCTTCAAACGAAAGCATTCAAAAATCAACATGCAAGAAAAAACCTGTAATGTATAGTTACAAAAGATAAGAAAAAACCCCATCGAGCAAATGACACGTTATAAATTCCTATTTCGAATGTTTGGAAATCTTATCAGTATAGAACTCTAAATCTGAACCCTAGTAGAAAACGCTGTTGGAAATTTAAAAATAAAATCTGAAAACAAATAGGAAAGCAAATGTATGTTAATTATTTCTAAGTAACTAGGAAAACATATTAAGGACGGAATACTAAAAGCTCGGTATAAATGTCCTATGAACATTAATTCATTTGCCTAAAAATTAAATTTTTTCCTGCATCATTTACTCTATATCTTTACACTTCTATCATGGCCCCTCTTTATATTAGATGTTCAATACATTAGTGTTTGAATTGCTTGAGTTCTCAACTAATTGCACAAGGAAGTTCTCAACTAATTGCACAAGGAAGAAAACATATACTTCAACATGTTTCCCCTCTTTATGGCTCCTTGTCATCTTCAGTGTCATGATCTCAAAACTATTTCTTGGTGAGGGTAAGAATAATTAGGAGCTAAGTATCTCCAGTTTTAGTTTACGAGTACTTATGTTTTTCTTAGTATTGTGAATGCTTTAGGGACTTTGCAGATCTTCGTAACATGATTTTCTTTTAAGCCTTTTAGAGTTGAGTCTGAACTTGAACATGTTCATTGGTGATATCCCAGTAGAAATTTTCAGCCTTTAATAACTTTTAAAAGTTGAATTTTAATGACAATAGCTTGATAGGCTACCATTGCTCGTTGTTCTCACCTAAACAAAAACCGCTAATTCGCAAAATCAAGAAGGAAAAAAAACCCTAATCCAATAAACAAGAAGCAAATAACAAAAAAAGAACCCATGAATCAAATGTAAATTCAAGATACAAACAACATATAGAAAAAGAAGATTCTAAGATGAAACTTGAAAAAGAGCCGTAGTCAATGCTAGATAAGAAATGAGATTTCTCCTAGCCTGTTGCTAGTTCTGCTCTCTATCAATGCCTCCTCGGTTCCCTTTTTCAATGACTGGATGGGTTTTGGACTTGGCAGGATTTAGGCCTATTTATTTTTTATGAAGCCCCTTGATTTTTGAGGCCCAAGGTGGTAGCCTAGTTTGCCTTAGGCCAAGACTGGTTCGTAGTTTACTTCCATGGGATTCCTTTCCTTGCTACACTCAGGCCCGGCCCTGGCCTAAGGCAAGCCTCATATTTTAGGGGGCCTCCAACCCAAAACCGCCCCT